TTACGGAGCGTACGCTACGATACTCCCGACGCAATATTGGTTTCGTAGATTTACGTTGCCTTCAGTACAAAAGGGCTACGTGTTTGTCTACGAATGAGTCTACGGCTACAGTTACAAATACAAAGTATTTATTTGAGCAAGCCACAGTATAATAAATTGTAGCAATTCGATAGTAATCTCTCCGGTGAGCTACGAATAGCGAGAGTGCTTTACATAGCGAGCATCTTTCCTTAGCCCGGATTAACGGTTGAAGTGGATTTGTTGAGTAACAACCAGTAACCAAGGCTATTTGTTTTTTCTTAATTACTTTCATTTTTATTTAAGATATTTTTATTTTATCTTACAAGTTTTATTTTGTATATATTTTTAAAGTGATACTACGAAACGTTATTAATTTTTTTTGCGTATTTATCTTACTTCTTATTAATATTATAAATGCGAATGTTTATATGGATGGATGTTTGTTTGTTTGAAGGTATTTCTAGAACGGCTGAACGGATCTCGATGAATTTTGGCATACATATAGAACATAGTTTGGAAGAACATATAGGCTACAAATTATGTTTATTTTAATCCCGTGCGGGTGCAGACGCGGGCGAATACTATAATCTGTAAGTTCAAAATGTTTAATGTAATTGAATGGGAACTGTATTGGTTTCTACGTATATCTTTGAAAGAACAATACCTAAAACAATACACCTTACAATTGCTTAAAGACCAGCAACGCATCTACCCTTCTTCCATGGTGATGTCCATGGACGTCGTTGATTACCTCGGTGGTCCATCCGCTGGTTTGCCACCTTCTCTTTTAATAAACTTCGAGAAAGTGAGACAGGGTGTTGAATGCATCATAGTAATATGGTTCTATTATTTAAAATGCCTACCGAATATAACATTGCTTCCAGAAATTATTGTAATTTAAATACAATGTCACTCGACCTAATTCCATTCCGACAGAATTGTGTCGACGTGCGTTACAGATCGTTTCATCTGGCTAACGTAATATTCTCTCATTAATCACACAACATTACGTATACATACATATATTAAGCTACAATAAGGATAAAGATATATATTGTACTCGCTTCTACCCGCGATTCTGTCCAGAATTTAAAATATAATAAGTGACCAGAATACTTTTGTATTTATACATCCTTATTTCTATTATTACATATAGTCTTAAATCTATGATATAAAATAAAATATTAAAAAGGAATAATTTACTAAAATATGTTATTAAAAGGAGTCCCTTTAGGCAAGGTCCCGAAGATACTGGCAGCGTTCCCCCTTTGCACAGATAAACTAATTCATTGACCGAGGAAGCTGCCAGCTCTTCGGTCCCCTGTGATGTCGATTAATAAGTGACCTATGTGTTCTTTCATACTATGTTCTACATCTGTGCCAAAGATTTAAATCCATTGAGCTGTTCTGGAGATACTTTTCAACAACCATCCATCTATCTAAACTTTCACATTTATTATGTTAGTACGAAGTGAGATTAGAAACAATATATCACCATTAAAAGGGATAAAAACATTGATAGTTCTCGCTTAATGGAATAATCAATTTCATGTTACATTTAATAAATGAAATTGAATAATAATATAATAAATAGTTATTAAAGACGACGGAACGTAAAGTTCTAAGAGGAAGGAAACGAGCGGTAGCATTTAGGTAAAATTTGGAAAATAAAATAATAAAGTTAATAATATAAAACTTAGGAAAAGACGAATTAGCACACACTATTGGAAGATTTACAACTGACCATTTTTATATCATTAAAAAAGAAGAAAAAATATAGAACATTCTAAGTTTAAAAATATAAAAAAGTATAAAAAGTTCCGTTTATATCGGCAACAGTTATTAATGATAATTAAAGTTCTCATTCAAGCGTCGATGTCAGAACACTATCTATTGCCCTAGATCTGTCGGCATAGTTAGAGCGTTTTCATGACGTAAAGACACTATGACAAATCAAAAGCTCATAACTATACTTCCCAGTATTGAATCAATTCTCATCGAACTCAGAAAAATATCAATATTCCATCAGTATAAATTATTTTATTTTAAACTAACGCTCGCCCGCCCCTTCCGCGCATTGTAAAAAAGTTAGTAAATAGCCTATGTGTTCTTCCAGACTGTCTCTACATTTATGCCAATTGTCACTGAAATCCATTATTCTTTCTGGAGATAACTTCTAACAAACATCAATCCATCTAAACATTTGCATTTATAATATTAGTAAGAAGCAATATAGTAAGATTGGTGCAAGCTTGACTATTGTATGGTAATTTCAATTAAATAAGACGTATTTATATAACTAAGATTAAAAACATATACATATATTTTCATAGTTAAATACTACCATATGATTTAATAGGGATAAATTTTAATATGTATTGTGCGTAGTAACCAGCAAAAATTTATGAAAACTTTAAAAATTACTCTTGGCTTTATAAAGCCAAACAAACTTCCTAATAATACACTTGACTGTTGTAAAGAAACCCTTTTAATAGCAACTTTCTTTAAAGAATTTGTATGAACTTGTTAAAAGTTTTTTTACCTGCTTTTGTTCAATTTTTAAGAACTTCAAAATTGAAATAGCATTGAAACAAAGAAACCGTACCTAGTATTCGGTTGAACCGATTGAAACAAACTTTGCTTTTTAATTAGAAACTAAATAACTACTTTCAAAAGGCTTTTGTTACTTATTATTTCTACAGTTTGAAGTCTTTCTATATATTTTCTATGTGCGTACATAACAAGTTTACAACTTTATTCAAATTACAAAGACAACTCTAGTAGAATCCAATTACGAGCTGCAAAAGGCAATCAACAACTTGAAAATTTTAATATCCCGTTTCATAAATAACTGACTTTGTATACTATATTTTGTTCCAAATGAAAGTGTGAATATTGTAAACGACAATCTTACTAATATTATATTAAATATAAGCGAATGTTTAGATGGATGGATCATTGTTAGAAAGTATCTTTAGAACAGCTCTACGGATCTCGCTAAAATTAGGCATAGATGTGGAACATCCTGGAAGAACTCATAAGCTAATAAATTAATGCCGCGCGAACGGATGCAGGACAAAAGTGCAACTGTTCTGCGGCCTAAACAGAACCATTCACCAGGGACGATACCCGAAACAAACCGAGCTTGGCTGTGAACTCCAAGGCGGCAGCCCCGCCAACAGCCTAGGGCACAGTGGGCTGATCACCTGCTTGCCCGAACATATTACATTCAAGACTTGACTTGAACCATATTTTACTCTGCATTTTTTGAAATGCCTGGAAATTGCTCGCATACTGGCCGTCATAGTTATTTAATTAATTTGTTCGTTCACAACACAGTGAATTCTCTTTGTATCACCGTAATCTATATAAACGTAGTGTAAACAGCGCTTATTTGTATAAAGAAATAAAAATTCTTTAAATTATAAATAGTTTGTTTTATTTTATGACAAATTAACAATACATAACAGTGCTGATTCTTAACATAGGTGAAAATTAATTGCAAACTAGGTAACTTTTAATATTTTTTTTAATAAAATGTAATTCAGAAAGGCACGTTTGGTGGAGATTATACATAAATTTCAAATTACAGTAACATCTCAACAAATCGAATATCAACTTATTGACTCGAATTTCAAGACGTTCATGTCAAGAAGTATTTGACGGGGAATGACGGGATTGTGGTCTCGGAAACCTACTGTCAGTAAGACGTCAATACATTTTATTTAGACTGTTGTTTGAAATATTACTTATCGAGCCTAAATATTTATACTAAAGTACCTAAGTAGTTTTAGACATTTATTAATTACAATCCTTTGCCGCGAATGGCGCGCTTAAATTACAAAGTCAAGCGTCAGAATGAATGTGAGGGGACACAAACGTCGACATTTTAGTAAGGCTAGTGTTGAGTCAATACACTGCCTCATTTCCGGATTTTCTTTCTAACACATATTAGGTACCTTTTAAAGGTTTTTAAAATCGATCTGTCATATATTTGTGTTTGCTGTGTTATTTTCACTAGCAAAACACTTATACAAAGTATATTGTTAACTTATTTCTTGAGTTTGTATACTTCTTACGGCAATAAAATCTTACGATTAGCTGACACACAAATCAAGTTAAGCTATCATGACGCAGTATTAATGAAACTGTGAATTCGCACTGTATAACCGTGGGTTTCCGAGACCACAATCTTCGTTTAAAACTTATTGTTTACTCTCTTCTGTCAAAGATAGATAGAAGAGAGACAGGGAGACGATATGTTAACAGAGATTTTGTTCTCAGAAACCAACGGTAAATATTCATGTAGTCTTCATATATCTTTTAATGCAAATATTTCAAATTCACGTAAAAGAAATAAAAAGAAAAAAGCTATTATATTATATTATCAAATATCATCACCATAATTACCTAGTTCCTTTGTTGCTGGTACGTTTGATATTAACGTATTTAATACTATTCAACCAGTTTCCACTAAGGAAACACGCACAAAAACATGTCTCAGATATTTTAGGGAATGGGGAAAATATGGACACGGTCACGACTACAATAACAAAGACACCATTCGTAAAATCAAACAATATCTTTGTTTGCAATATTTTTAACAAATTATTTCTCTATATATTTATTAACATTATTTACATTAAAGGTACAAAAAAGGCACTTCTTCAGCCTGTTTATAATTAAATAAACTATCTATGTGAAATAAATTATAATTGATAACTTTTGAATATTTAATAAAAGAGTACATTTTTCAGTGCATTATTAATATTGCAGCGTATGTCGCCTTAACTAGAAGACGGGGTTTAATCAAAGTACATTTACTACGAAGCGATTCCATAAAGAAGTTCAAAAATGTATAGAACTGACAAGCGACAATCACGAGACTTCATTAGCTTACTATACGTCCCCAACGAGGAGCTCGGAGCCTACCCTAAGTTAGGGGTGACTAGGCCATAGTTAACGCTGGTCCAGTGCAGGTTGACTCACGATTTTTCTTTTACCTTCACGTGTCTTATCGAAAGTTATTGGCCGTTCTCTACATTTTTGAAGTTCCATAAAGGAATCATTTCTTAGCGAATGTACTTTGTTTATCGCCTAATGTCAATAAAAACTAAAAAAAAAAATATCGCGTATAGTTTATAGTTAAAAGTTAAATAGTTGTGTAAAAGTGCACTTTTCCTTATTGTTAATTGCAAGTAACAAGTAACTCTAAATTATAAAAAATATTGCTTTTAATAATTTTCATTTCTACAAATATAACACAATTTAAAAGTTGGTTTGTAAGGAAATTCTTTACATACGGTACATGTATTCCTTAAAGTTATATAGCTATAATTCGGTTTAATACCAAAACAACGGCCTTATCGGTAAAGACTTTGTTATATCGTTTGGAATTGCATACGAGTCACATTCTCATGTTTTAAATACAGGATAATTTAAAATTAAATAAGTATGCCTACAATATATAACAAAGTAAAATTATAAAGGCACTTCTACACTACGGCACACTTACACTTACAAGTGCTATAGTGTGTACCAACCTTAATATAATAATTTCTTTTTAACGCAATGCATTAAATTCACAATGCTAAAAAAAATCAGTTCACATAGTTCTTCCACTTTATCACTTGAACCAAAAACTTTTGGTTTTTAGTTCTTGTTTACACGGCCATTTCATTGTACGGCCTACGCCTAGCTTGCGGGTCGGCTGCGATCCCGTTGAGCCCATTGCCCTGGTGCCCACGGGAACTTAACTGTCAGAGATCTGTTAACCACAAAATCATATAAATTGGAACCTTTCAAAGAAAAGAGTTTCAACCCTTTAGAGGTCCCAGAAGACTTGTAACTTGTGGGACCAAGATAGAGATTTCTTAAACAGAGAAAAAACTATGCACCAGACAGAATTAAAAGAAAAAAAGACTATTAATTCCTTTAGTATTCAAAGTCAAAGAAAAATTACGTATCATGCTAATTAATGAGTAAGTAAGTTAGAGGCATTTAATTTTTTTTTTTCAATAATTTTAATAATTAATTTAATGTGAAATTCCACTGCTGTAACACTCGTATTAAAAGATATGTTTGTCGTAATAAAAATAAAGATATCTTTTCGTAGTGTGTTTTGTTATTAGAAATCAATAGTTTACAATTCCTTTTAAGTCGCAAAATAAAATGGATTAATTGTATCATACAATTGTTAGTTTGTAACACATGAAGTATTTATTATATTTACCACATGCTAAACTTATAATTTCCATTACCCATAGTTTCCTGCTGCAGTTCCAGTTTGTACGCTGGGTTGTCGTACGGCGGCAGGGAGGACTCGCGTGGTGCTGATGGCACGGCTGAAACATTTACTTTTGCATTGTAATTTGGACTACATACAATATTTACAGGTTCCTTTGGATACAAATGCGCTATAAACTTTAAAGTTGACAACACTTATGAATATACAGAATTTCATAAAAGTGTGGTAAAAATATCTCATTGTAAACAACTCAACTTTATAACATAGAAACCTGAAAACCTGAAACCTCCTAACCTCACTAATCAATCTGATACTTTGTAACGAAAGCGAGCAATTCGCGCTCAATGACTCTAATTTATAACGTCTAGAAATGTGTGATAAAGTAATATTATATATAATGTGAAATGAAGAAATATTTTGATATTTTCTAATTTTAGATAAAGTTTGTTCATTTTTGACATTGAAACTTTTAGTACAAGGAATAGGTATTTAAAAATGATGCAAAAGTTATCGCGTAGTCATGTATACTCACGCGTGATGGGCACAGATCGCGGCCGGTGTCGTCTGACCACGACCAGTAGCAGCAGCAGGGATGTGAGGGCGCCCAGCGCTGCCACCACGCCCACAGCCACCAATGCGCCGTAGTAGTCTCCACGCGGCGGCCCACCACGACCACCGGACACTGACGACGCCTCTATTATGTCTGCAAACACGTATTTTACAAGCTTTAGTTCGCGTGTAAATGAAATAAAACCTAGTTAATAGTATAGATACTAGCTCAAAACTTTTTCTAGACTGTTATCTATTTCTGATCCAAATATCAACCGGATTCGTTCAGCCATATTGGAGTTACGTGGTTATAAACTTTCATTCAAACACAATTATTATTATTATTTTATAGTTTCATTAAAGACCTATCGAATTGTTCCTGTTCAATTGTTTCTCCAATTAATTATATCGTCTAAAAGTACAAGTTACTCACTGTCCACAGTCTCCGGAGAGTTCTCAGACTTGGTATGTATCTCTACAACGTTACTTGTCTTTACTTTGCCGTTCGTCAGGTACAGTTCAAGCCACACTCGGCATCTGAAAGAAACATAATGTAGACATAAAAAGTTTGTCAAAGCTAACAATATAAATTATGAACCACCTACTTCAATGCAAGTGCAATAATAAACTTTTTTTACAGTTAAAGCAATAGGAATAACGTAAAACGTACTTAGAGTTAGGTGTAAGTCCATTAAGTGTGACAGTGGGTGGGAGGTCTCGTGTTGCCAGTCGGAAATCGTCATGTTCTTTGCGCGAGGAACCGCAGGCGTGCGCCGCCCGGTATATCCTGACCCAGCGCTCGGCGGGAGCGGGAACGCCGTGCCACATTAGCTCCGCAGCGACTGAGCCCACTGTATGCACCTCTACTGTCACGGTCCAGTTGTAAGGATCTAGAACATTCCATTATTTTACAAATAATATTTTATAAATAACATTCAAATGACGAATTCGCGTCGCTGGTGATGATTTCGTAATAATACGTATAATAACTTTAACGGGTTTAAGACTGAAATAAAATTTCGTTTTATTTTTAAATTAGATGACGTCATAGATTATCTTAATTCCATAATCAATGTCGTCGATTTACATGAATATTTCAATACTATTTGTCAAGCATCGATGGTTCAGTGGTAGAATGCTCGCCTGCCACGCGGGCGGCCCGGGTTCGATTCCCGGTCGATGCAATCTTTTTTTATGTATTAGAAATGTTCCTTTACACTTTTCTTATTTACTGTAGGTTTTACTGCCTACAAAATAAATTAATTTTGTTTTTGAGATATATTTTTGTATCGGCTTTGAATATACTTACCACCGCAATTAGAGCAATAAGGTACTGTTAATGTCTTTATAGAAAGGCCTGTATTTACATACCAACATAAGGCGAGGTGGTGAACTCGACTTTGGTTGCATCGTACAGTTCAGTGAGCGCGCGCGGCGGCGGGATTAGCACTAGCTCGGCCTCGTAACGTGCTGCAGGCCGCAGGGCGCTCAGTTCGGCCTGCGCACGCGCATGGTGCAACACCTCCGTCATACTGTAGATCGGCGTGCCCACAGGACGGTACCTGATGGCAAAATTTATCATAATAAGTATATCTAATCTGGGACCAAAAAGTGAACCACGTAAAAGTTTCCAATTGGTCCTTCCGTCACAAAATATCTGTAGTTAATTTAAATTTTTAAATTGCAAAATTACGTCGCTGCATGACTGAGGTGTACTTAGTCAAGGTTAGATAGAGGTTAATGATATTTTTCGTTCATAAATGTTATTCACCAGGCTACTCGCAGCCCCTCGACTCACATAGAACATCGCGGTGAGCTGTGAGCTGTTAAATTAATAGTTGAACCGCAGCTCAACCGTTCAAGTCTATTCGTAACTTTTGTATCGGTTAAGAGCTAATTTACACACGTATACATACCGAACTTGAATTCCATCAATATACTGCAGTTCATCATCAGTGAAGTGCCGCCAGCTGAGCCGCGCGGTGGTATCGTTAACTTCAACCACTGTCAGTCTGCTGTTGATCTCACGTCGCTTCTCTTCCTCAGCCTGAACCTTAATTAAGAAAATGAACACCATTATGTTTAAGTAGCACTAATATGTTCCACTTACACAAAGCTAGTGGCGTTATTCATTCTATTATAACGTCCAACGACTTGAAACCCCATTAACCGTAGGTTTCTGATACCAATATTTCAGTATAAAACATATCGTCTATAATCTTTGACAAAACAGAGATAACAATATGGTTTAAGCTGACATTTTGGGTTCAGAAACCTTCGGTAAGAAAAGTTGGGATGACATGATATTACGTAATAGATAAGATTACATTTGAACTCACCACTGGTAAATCTAGAGTGCGCACATTGAATACATCACTCTCTGGCTCGACGGGCAGATTGTGTAAGTACAGTTTGCCTCGTATTTTATAAGTGGTTGAAGGCTTCAAGCCAGTCAGTCTGAAGTCCAACCTCTGTGTGCCAAGTATTTCATCCGCAGGTGCAAATATTTGGGAATACCAATGAGATATATCCTCGTCCCTGATGAGAAATATAATCAGTTAATACTTTTAAATAACTTAGCAGTCGACCGCGACACAAAATTTTAAAAACATAATTAGTAGCCTATATGTTCTTCCAGGCTTGTTGTTTTATATGTATGCCAAATTTCATCGAGATTCGTTCAGCCGTTCTGTAGATACCTTCAAACAAACATCCATCCATCCATCTAAACATTCGCATTTATATTAGTAAGATAATTTTCTTTATCACGGATACCTGAAAAAAATAATTCGATACAAAGTAAATAATAATAATTTTGAAACAAAATACTTACGCCGTGTCAGTGTATCGTAGGTCAACGCTTCCACGTAACCCGACCAAAACTGGGGGTAGGCCGAAAATCATCTTAACACTAGTCGGTGTATCCGATTGTAATAATATAACGGACAGTTTCTTATTGTCATCGGAATATGAAGGTGGCATTGGTATGCCGGCGATCGTTGGATCAAGATTTAGTGGTCGATGTATATTATTTTGTTCATAATCTACTATATCTTCTTGTGGATATCGGACCTCAGGAGGTATAGTTGGTATAAACTCCGGTGGATGTGGTTTACCTGGAAAACCTGGCATTGGACCTGAAAGGTTTTGTTACAAGAGATATTTAACATATTTTATATGTGTACAAAAGAACATAAAATACATAGAGTAGGTTAGAAGGTTAATTAAATTAGGCAGGAATAAAAATGACATGTCAGATTTTGGTAAGTAAATGAAAAGCATTAGATGACGTTATTATGATATTATTTTTTATACAACATGCAAATGTATTAAGGAAATTGTTGTTACTCATTATATTAAGAATATTCATTACTATGCGTACATCGTTTTAATTTCTAAAACCTACAATAAATACTCTAAAATAAATCAGAATTATGTATTTACAATCATGACATTAAAAATCTGTAAAAAATATGTAACATTTGGTACAAACCTATTTGAAATGTCTACATAAAAATACTGTCAGTTAAGAGAATATTAGTATTTGATATAACACCGAACAGCAAACAATAACTGGGGTTTTCTGAGACCAAAATCTCTGTATAAAATATATCGTCAAGTATCATTTTTGATATATGTTTTAAACGGGAATTTCGGTCTCCGAAACTAACAGTTTAATAGTCCAAATAAGATGGATATTTGCAGCTCGCTGTATACAACACATTACAAAAAGTCAAGAAGTCACATGTCTAAAGTCATTTGCTCGTTTAGAGTCGAACTACAAACACAAACTAAACGTAGGCCAGGTCACTGACCTGCCGCGTGTTCTCCTATGTCTTTATCAGCCGAACGTCCAAGATTCCTATTCACCTCCGATTCCACCTCCATTTGGGAGAGCATATGCTCCAGGTCTAATGTTGAATAGCTTTTACCTGAAACCTTATTAAGCTTAACACTATTGCTAGGTACTTTCTGCATATCTGTTATAGGTTCAGGCAACACTCGAAACAAAACAGTTTCGTAGGGATTCGGGACTTTGGTTAAAACGTGTATGTTCGGCCAGGATTTATCATTGTTCCCTGTGTCAGAAGGTCGTATAGGTTTCAAGTCTTTGCTGCGTAATATGGTTACATGTTTGCCGTGTAATCCGTGAACGTCATGGCGGCCATTTTTGTAAGTCTGTGGGTTCGGATATTTTCTATAATAATCCGCCGACTGATTGAACATGGGTTCGAAATATGTTTTTATCGGTTTCATGCTGCCCGGTGTTGTTTTTGTTTCACCAAAACTAAATGGAACATGACTCGGTATCTTTTTATCATAAACCGGTAGGAAATAATTTAAATTATGCATTTGTAAGAGCGGTACTTTGCTGACAGATTCATGCATTTGTTGCACGTACTCCTCGTGGTCTGATATAGATTTTGCTTCCATCATTTGGTTCTGTTTGTACTTTTCAAACAAGTCCTTTATTTTATTGTCCGGTAGGACGTAACTTAAATGGTTCCGCGAATTAGTTCTTGTATCAGAATGATGTGAAGCGAGCGGTATATTCGGTTGAATAGAGACGGGCACGGGTGCGACAAGGACAGACTTATTCGGTGGCTCTAAAGATTTCCAGTTGACGTTTATACTTGTCACGGGTGGTATGGGCTGTAGTAATTTGAATGGTCTGTGGAATTCGTTCGGGCTGTATATAGCGAAGGTGTTGTTCTTTGTCTCGTGTACATAATGGTACGGTGAGTCGTCTGCAATAGGGCCGGGGTCGGGCGGTTGTACAAGTTTGTTGGTTTTGAGTCTAGTCTTGGCGGGGTTCATATGTCGAAAGAAGTCATTGGTCTCAGTCATGACGAGTGGTGTGGGGAGTGGCGTCGTGACAGTCGGTAGGGCGGGCGCGACCGGAGTCACGTGATTCTGTGATGCGTCATGCGATGGAAAAACATGCGAATATTTGGATCCATTCTTGTATCCAGCTGTAAGCAATAACATGATTATGAATGATGTGAGCATGCAATGTATGACGGTTTTTTTTATTTTATTATGAGTTATGAGTAATCAGAATACCAAAGTATGATTTTATGTACAACTGCTCCTGATTTGTGATGAGTGATGATCCTGTTTAAATGTAACATGCAATATTCCACCATTATCTAATAAAAGCCAATCGATGTTACATTGTAACACTTACCATTAGGTATGCATCCCCATTGCTTGCAGCAATCCTCATCAGATATATTGACCGCAGCTGGGCGGTGGTTTGGAGGACATCGCAGTGTCTGTGGTGGCAACGATGGCAATGGTGAGCACACCTCTTGACAATCCAGTTCACCGTTCTCACAGAAGCAACGCTGTTCGCATCCAGTCAGAGTCAACGGTACTTCGCTCCAGTTCGGTACTCTGAAGGCATTGCAATTTAACAATGGTTAATGAATGAAAATTTATTTGAAATAATTGTAGCTTTAGTGTCCAAATTAAGCAATAGAAACTACGTTTCGTGTCCATTTCCAATATAATTGGTATTTTGTTTGTTCAACTCTTTCATTTAAGTATTTCATTTTGATAAATACGTCTAGCAAAGGTACAGGTAAACTTTTATTACTTGAAGCAATACTTACGCAACTCCTTTATAATGACAAGTCCCATCACTGAGACACCTCGCAGTTCTAGGGCAGCAGTTAGGCGGGTGTGCGGGAGGGTTGGCGGCCCACCGCACGCAACCCTTGCTAACCAGCTCCAGACCAACATGGGACGGGCACACTAGCGCCGCGCACTCGCGTTTCTCATCGCCAGTACATTCACATAACTCTGAACATCCGATGTGAAACTCTTCACCTATTAAGATGATAAAGCTGTACTTTATTAACAAATAAATATAAAGAAAACAGACACTCTTAACTTCGATTCGCACGGGCGCTTTATTAATGCGCTAAAACGCGTTCAAATAGAATAAATGCATTGTCATGTATCTATTCATACGGTAGCACTTCTGTGTTGAGAGTGTTGCGTTCAACAGTGATTTAAAAGCGTTCGTCGTTCCAGACACGCCAACACCAATTATTAACGCCGCGTTAAGAAAACGCTCGTACGAATGAGGAATATATACACTACTAATAAATCTTTAAAATATTAGATGCTACATTTCGTTAATTGAATTTTTACCATTCTAGCAACTAAAGCGATATTAATTTGTACAAACCGACAGCATAAAATTGTCCATCATGATGACATCCTATTTTGTACGCATTACTTTCTTCTACTGGCACTTCATTCGAAGTTGAATCCGATGCTGTTATTGTGAAGTTGAATTTAGTTCCTGTTTCTTTTGTTTTTAAAATATAATCCTTGCCACCTTCGAGATTAAGTATTAAATTGGTATATCTTAGTTCCACGTCTCTGAATGTTCGTCCACCGTCGCTACTTAGTAAGAGATGTATCGGATCTTCGCTGTTATTCATATGCATTAAGTTAACTTGCACACTATTGTTTTGTAGTACTGTTACTGATCCGATCGGTTCAGTTAACACTAGCGGCCTGATCGTAGGTCTGAATGAATCGTTCTGATCGTCCAATGATCTTCCAGTCTGGGGAATGAAAATTGTAATAGTAAGAAAATTTGAATCAATTTATTTAGTAATTGAAAGAACGTACTCAATATGTACTTTCATTACCAAATTAATCTAGGAAATATTTTTTGTAAAGATCGAAAAAAGCTAAAGCAACTCGAATCGTTGAACTGCGGCTCAACAACTTGAATGTGAACCCACGAGCCGCTAGCTGTTTATTGACTCGCAGTTCACAGCTTGAAAGTCAAATCATAACTCTATGCAGGTACGAAATTCTGCTGAGCTGTGATCCGGTTCACTGAGTTGCTGGTTATCAATTTTAGTTTAACCGTACTTACCTCTGACGCCAGAAAAGAAGAAATCATAGTTGATGTAGTTGCGACCGGTGTAGTTGTCATCGGTGTGGTTGTTGATGGTGTTGTGGTGGTTGTTGACATTGTGATGTTCTCGGGCTCCTCGTGCGCGTCAGACGATACATCACACACTTGTATCTCACAGCAATCGTCATTAGGATCTTGAACGTTTATACACTTCTCTGATGTTTGTAGTCGGTTGCATCTAAAATTCATAATTACAAAACGCTAAAATATTACGATCAATTCATTCGACAATATTGGTTCATCCTTTTTGTATGGATTTGATTCATACAATTCTACTTATATAAAAATGCTTACTCTCCTTTCAATAAATCTGTCTTTTGATAAAGATCGTAAAATATTTACCTTGGTCTGCAGGATACGACAGAATGCTCTTCACATACACACGTCTGTTGACATCCTATATTCCAGCTTGACCCTACAGCATAACTCTCATTTTTGAATTTACACGCATCAGCCTTGGTTGCTGAAAATTAATTGTTTCAAATATTAAAGAAAATACCAAATATCGCTAAATATTAAAAAAAAAAACATCTATGAGCATATGACAGATAAATTAGTTTCAAAATCATGGAATACTTCTAAAGATTGTAACATTAACTATGAATTCGTTAGACTACTTATTTTTATAAATAAATGGTTCTTATTACTAAAAAAATTAAAAAGACGTATGGAAGATATTGTACGTATTGACTATGGCCTAGTCACACCTAACATAGGGTAGGCTCCGAGCCCCTCGGTGGGGACGTCTGATGATGACGATGATGATAGAAGATATAATACGCTTGATATGCACTTTAAAATCTGCATTTGCGAATTATGAACTGCCAACAAAAATTATCCATCTATTTAGGTCTGCGTAGGGATTCCAAAACATGTGTGAAGTCAACTAACCCGCACCCAGCCAGTGTGGTTGACTATAGCCTAGTCACCCCTAACTTAAGGTAGGCTCTGAGCCACTCAGTGGAGAAGTATAGTAAGCTGATGATGATGATATCTTTACCTCCAGTTCCAGTGGAACAAGCAATAATAGAGCAACATTCGTCTACTGGTGATTCAAAGCAAAGAGGATCATTCAATCTTCTTCCCCTTCGTGTGTAAGGATGCTTGCAGCGCGGCGAGCACTCAAATATACCAGAAGTAGTACATTCACATGTTTCATCACATCCTCTGTCTATTCGATCACCTACCTGGAAATATAAAGTACTTTGTTTAGACATTATTAGTTAGAACACTTTGGCGTGAATGACGTGCTTTCGTTAAAAACTCCAGTGTCAGAATGAATAGTGAGGGGACATAAACGTCGACATTTTAGTAAAGCTAGTGTTGCGTCGATACACTGGCATATTTTCGGATTTTCTTCCTAACACTTGATAGAAAAGTTTGATAGACCATGTAACGTTTGGCCATCTGCAATTTTATATACAGAAATCTTTAATTAGATTTGAGGCTCTTAAACATAGTGTTAAAAGCTTATGTACTATTTGAGGTCTTCCTCAATTTTTTTTTATTTGCTCTTTAACTACTAATGTTGGCTTTGCTTTTATTCAGTGATTTGTAAGTTAACACGATGTGTTAAATTATCTGATCAACATATGACTTGTCATAGAGACAATAAATACCTCATTCCTATAATAAACAATAGTTAATTAAACATATATTTATGTGGTGGGAATTAGACCAAGGTTTGGCTGTACTAAAATGTTATGTATTTTTTTAATTCGCTATCAGATCATATTCATAGTCACGGCTGTGTTAATAAAAACCAACAAATCTAGCTAAATTCTCAATTTGCAACATAACCAAATAAAGCACTTTATGTTATATATTCACGATCTGTATCTTAATGTCATATCTTACTTCTTACTAACTATCTTCTTATTCTTATTAATGCGATGCGATGGATGGATGTTTGTGTGAAGGTATCTCTTAAACTTTGGCATACATAAAGAACATAGTCTGGAAGAACACATAGGCTACCAATTATTTTTTTTAGTTCTGAGCAGACGGAGCCGTGGGCGATAGATAGTTACATAGATAAAGGTTAAAAGTACGTACCTTGTATATAATTTCATTTTCCTTGCATATTTCAACTTCATCAGATTTATCTATAGATAGTAAAGGATTGAAGGGAACTTGTAGATTTGAATAGAATTTATCAGTGATATCTTTATTCTTAGGCACACTCGTAATCAGTCTTGGTGGTTCGTCATCTTCGTCTACGTCTAAAGATACTTCGCTTATATCAGAAAGTTTTCTATTAATACCTTGATTTGTTTGATTGTGTAATGCATTCGCGAAACTCTGCAACTCATCAACACTCAAATCTAATAATCTTGGTTTAGCTTTTAATATTGAATCTGTTAGATCTGTCATTTCTGTCGTATCTAAATCTATTTTAGAATCTGTGGTAGGTGTTACTACTGTAGATTTAGCCGATGTTGTGACTGTTGTGGTTGTTGTTGGTGTTTCCGTGAATATTTTCTTCGGCTGTTGTGTTGTTGTGAAGATGAACGGTGGTATCGTAAGATGCGATGGCTGATGTTGGGACACTTCTTCCTCGTCAGTTGTCATTTTACCTTAAAATAGAAAGTAAAGTATATTAAAATTAATGGAATCAATGTTGGATACTTAACAAATGTGGTAATCCAAAAAAAAATACTACACGAAATTAGCTTTGGTAGATAATGTTATGGTTAAAATAAATACATTTTAGAATTCCTATCTACGTACATAACTACAAAAATAAAACAATTTAAAAATATTTTGATTTAGCAACAATCGGTTAATCGAGAAATATCTAAAGTAGAAGTACTTACATATTCTTACATAGTTTTAAGTAATAATTACGTTACGAAGTTTGTAAAGACACGTTACTAAATGCATTTAAAATTTCTAATTCTATTAAGTCTACTAGCTAGAGGATAAAATAGTGTGGGATATTATTAACTGGGATAGGTTTAATAAAAACTCGTTATTTAGTTATACTAATATTTATGTGTTTTGTTATATGTTTTTAAACACAATTTTATAACAATTATTACTGTAAGATACACCAATCTATAGATTATATTTTCATATACCTGTAGTTGTTGGAATATTTGTTTTCTTCAATAATATAGTAGATTTCAGTGTACTGTAGATTTCTGTAACTAAAAATCCATTTCATTCAGTAATAAATTAAATTATTACTATCAGTATAACAATCTTTAGTTGATTAACACTGTTTTGTCCTGACCGTCTTTGACAAGGATGACGATAATTTATGTTATCCAATATTTACAGACCTTGAAAAGTACTTTGATGTTGTTTTTAGGGTTTCGTAACTCGAAAGGAAAAAAACGGTACCCTTATATTTCCTCATGAAGTGCCAAACGAGCTAGCGGCCACTGAAAATCGCTTAAATAGCGAAGCGACCGTTGGCCATAGACATACGAGTTGCCTACCTTTAATCAACGGAGAAGGGATACACAGAAAGAGAATATTTTCTCTTCATATGTATCCACTCCACTTCCCATCCCTTCCTTATGTTAGGAAGAAAATCCAAAAATGTGGCAGTGTATTACCCAACACTAGCCTTAATAAAATGTCGACGTATGTATGTGTCACTATTCATTCTGACACTGGACTTTGTAACGCAAGCACGTCATTCTCTCCAAGTGATTCTAATAATGTTTATAACTAATAAGAAAAAAGGGTGGGAAGGGAAAGAGGACTAAAACTAGGATGTTATTTTATTATGTTTGGAAACCGTAGCCCCTACTACATGTTTTATAGGGCGACTTTGGAGTCCGATTATTAAATAAAAAAAGATTAGGTCAAAAAAATGAGCACATTATATACATAGCGATGGTATCTCTTTTGGTAAAACGTGTTTAAATTGACGATGTTTCTTGTTAAATCAAAAGTAAAAACTATTTTGTTCAACTGTTCAATAAAGATGAATTTGCTTCGTCCAAAAGGCGATATTGTAAAGTAGTCCCCCGCTGTTACGCCTTTAGTTGGGACAATTTAAATCATGTTACACGCACAAACGAAAATATGGATTACATTACGAAAATGGAAACTGCTAGAAGGCGAAGAACCTTGGTGAATTTTTACAAAAAAAAAGTAACGCCACAGTCAGTAACAGTTAAGGTTAGCCACCGAGGCAGTTTTAGACAGTAAGAATCTCACGTAACCCTGTCTTTCTCCCAAAAGGTAGGGTATTTTACGAAGATCCCCCCCGATACCAAAAAAAAAGTGCCTTGTTACTGTACACGAGTTGTATTATTTAAGAGAACTAAAATATAACATTCATTGTTATTCAACGTCTACTAAAAAAATACATTGTGCATTTGATTAAAAAATCTTTGTACAATAAAGTTATTGCTAGAAAGATTTAAAACGTAATCACTACTGGTATTAACAGATATATAAACACGTCATAATATTATGTAAAATTTCTTTTAACACGTTAAATGCTACAACAATGCTCAACCTGTAATTCCACTTAACGTGAAATTGCAGTAGCATTGCAAATGTTAAACTACATCTTTTTTATATCATAAGGTGGCTAACGAGCGAGCGGCCACCTAAAATCGCAGAAATAGCGAAGTGACCGTTGCCCATAGACATACGCAATTGCATATGCGTTGCCTACCTTTAATCGACGGAGGAGCGGATGCACAAAAATAAAATATTTTCCCTTGCCATGCATCCTCTCATCCGGAAGGTCCACTTCCCATCCTTTCCTTATAAGAAAAAGGATGGGAAGGAACAGAGGAATAAATTAGGCCTCTCGCATACTCATCAGACGAAACGCGGAATTGCTTCCACTTCACGCCTGTCTTCTGTGTGGTCGTGGTATTTCACCGGGCGAGCCGGGCCAATTCGTGCGAAGATGTTAAAGCGGGCTCTACCACTGCCAGGCGCTTAATTACGCAGGTCAGCTTTGTGGAATTTCGTCTACTAATATAATATTTATAGCAACAATAAAAACTACTCTTATACCTGTATACGATTCAGTACTGGCCATTGATTCGTTATTGTTCACAGTTGATGTCTCTAATGATGTCATCCATTCAGTAAAAGAATCAGCATCTAATTACCGAATTAAATTATAGGCCTTAGTAAAATGTAAACAAGTAATTGTTATTACAAATAGAATAGTTTGATCATCGTTTTACATCATCACATTCATTATGTCAATACGATTTTATTTTTTTATATTATAAGGTGGCAAACGAGCAAATGGCCACGTGCAATTGCCGAAATATTACAATAAAGCCAAGGCTATCCATATATATTCATAATTGCAGATTCGTTGTGTACCTTTAATCGGCGAAGGAGGAGAAATAGAAAGAGAATATTTCCCCTTACTATGTTCTCTCCTCCATCAAATCCATTTCCCCTTCCCATCCTTTCCTTATAAGAAAAGGGTGAGAAGGGAAGGAGGATTAAACTGATACCTCTGGAGCTCACACTCATCAGACGAAATGCGGAATTTCTACCACTTAACGCCTGTGTCTGTGTGGTCGTGGTTTTGCACTTGGCGGTCCATTCGTCTACCACTTTTAGTGAAACCTTTACTTGTCCAAATAGTTACATCCTCTTACATATAATAAAAAAGATTGTCAGAATTTCGGGTAAAATTGTATATATTAGTAGGAATCTACTAAAATTACTAATAACGATTAATAACTACTATTCAATCTACTAATCAAATTGAATAATACCTGAATCACGTTTCGTTATTGTAATCAAATATGGCTCTGTCATCTCTAAAGTGTTTACTTGTTTCTTTTCTACACCTAAAGTAAAAAAATAATCAATATTTATTTTTATCAAAACTGTACAGTATTAATCAATGGTTAAATTGCATAACACATAACTAACGCATATGTTTATATTGTCAAATAAGATTTATATATATTTATTCTCTTTTATCGCGTCCAAATAGTAAGACTTTTATTAACGCTTTTTGCACATGGGATTATTATTATAAAAATTAAATTGTGTTCATCTGTACGAATTGATTTGTAGATTAGTTTTGTTATTAATATAATTATACATTTCAACTGCAAAAACATATGTACAGTCAGCTGCACAAATATGTAGACATTTACAAAGCTTCAGAAACTTGTACATACCTTCGGTTTTGAAGATATGAATACACGTTTATGTCCGTATTCTGCCGTCCATAAGTACATGCTAAACACGGATACGTAGGTACATACTTATTTCGAAAATAAAGTCTTTTATACGTTTCTAAATTTTGTTTAAATGGTTCCATATTTATGCAGCTGACTGTACTGCATCCATTATTATCTGTATTTTTTTTAATTTAGTAAAAGGACAACATTTTTTAGACTAGTGTTTCGGCAATCGAAACTCAACTTTGTATAGTTTCAACAATCTACCAAAAATTGCATTTGAATTTGTACCTGTCGTAGTAATATTTTCATTTTTAATAGTCCGGGATATTTCCGTCATATTCAACTTAACGTCATAGTCTGAAATAATATAAATATGGAAATTTAATAAGAACTAATTGTGATAATTTGTCAAGAAAAGTTCAGCCAATAAAGTCCGTAAGTCACAAAACTAAATTATTATTTATCTACTAATATACAGACTTATGATGGAAGTAAGCGTGGGAAGCAACAGAATTAACATCTGACCTCTACATATATTAACTTATTACTAACTTATACTAAAATAAACGAGTTACATAATCAATAAAAATAGAAAAACAATCGAAGACGAAACAAACAAAAGAAGGTGATATCTGTGAATTACCATTGCAACAAAACTTGTACAAAAACATTGCCTCTTTTTTTTAATTTTAAAAGTGGAATGGAATTTCACAGTAATATGGTATCCGTAACCAAAGAGTATGTAATCAAAGAGTACTGTTTGTGCAGATGCTTGAATTTAGAACAAGCATTATAGATAGCCAGTATCACTGTTATTGGAAATCTATAGTCTCTGACCTAAGAGAGTTGACGTAATTATAGCACATGAGCATTGTCGTAAAAATGCTATTAACTTATATTAACATCGATGAAGAAGTGTCTAATTTATAAATATAAATTAAGTTTAATTAAAGATTAAAAACTATGCAACTAAAAATAAAAATAGTTGTGCTTTGTAAGACACAGAGTAAGTTGTGTACGGAAACGAAACTTCAAACGTTTTAAATGTAATTTAAAATTGTGACGATATTATCAACAAAGAGTATAATTAAACTATTATGTTAGGCATAATACCTTCTGGAATATCTGGAGTATCTGAAAGTATTTGACTATTTATCATAGTTGTATAGTCTTTGGTATTTTCCGTTATTTCCGTATCTGTAACTATGGTTTTAAAATATATAAAAATATCTTAATATATGCATATGACTTTATCAAGAGTTAGGTGATTATTAAAGACTAAACGATTTCTAAGACCAAAATATGGATAAAACATATCGTCATCCCTGTCTTTCATCTTTGATGAAACAGAGATAACAATTTGTTTTTAACGGGGATTATGGGCTCAGACACCCACAGTAAGTGAATATAATTAAGGATAATTAATTTCTGTGATGTGTGCGTATATAAAGTTTATGTGTAATAATGAGAAGAAAAAATAACTATATGATCTACTCTAAATCTTTCTATATACCTGAGTTAGATTCTATATTTTGAGTCGTATTTTCAGTGGCTTTAAGCGTTATGTCAGTTCCTGAAACTATAAATCCGTTTTACTAAAATATCTTTGCAAGTAAATGATTTTACTTTATAAATCTAAGTCAATAAAGATTGAAAAACATTGTAGGACGCACATGTAAATATGTTTAACAGTATTTTAGTTTTTTCCTGGAATGAACTATAAAATTTCAAGGTCACTCTAAGGTCAAGGTTGCATGATGAAAAGACCAGGTATCGAGATAGTAAATGAGGCTTACGTTCAACAGTCACTGTCACTAATATCTACAAATAGATAAGGATTGGTAATAGCTTTCGCTTTCTTTTCGATTTTAAAGCGTGTTAATGTTACGTGAGTTATAACTATATTAGTAGTTCGAATTCGCACCATTGCTACAAACCGCCACATCAGCGTCAAAATGGTGAAAATCAAATAGGCACAAAATACTGCCTCTCATAGCCAGTCCATTTATATTCAGTGTCAGCAGTAAACATTAGACTAATGATTTAAAAAAATAGTTTGAATTTAGATCGTTCTAAAAAAAAGTACCTGTATATGATTCAGTATTGACATTTTGCCATTCTATTCCTTCTGATGTTACGTCTGTCACTGAAAATTTATCAACAACTGTATAGTTTGTCTATTTAAGATAGATTACTTTGACAACTGATGCCTATGAAGTATAGAATTCATTTTGTTTGAGTACTAATGTTGTACTTAATGGACCGTTGTCATAGTGTCGACTATACGACAACTATGAACTATCGAGTATCGGTCTTGTAATAAAAATAATCAAACAAAAATGCTATAGTTTAGATATTACGTTACTTTTCGAATTTATTACAGTCATTTGTCTACGTATTTAACTTAAAAACAATAAATACATCTCATTTATATTGTATTTCGAAAACAACAAACAAGATATTTTCGATCACAAGTTTTATGAGAACCATCGAAAATCTTTCGATTTTACTTAACCTTTTTCTAGAGAATTGTCAAACTAATTTATCTTAAATAGACACAATATAAATGAAGTTTTCTATCGATTTATAAATTTAATTATATCAACTTTCATAACTTAGCGAAAGACGTAATTTTGATTCATACCTGTAGACAAGTTTTGATTGGTAAACGTTATTGATTCATTCGTTATCGATGTTTCTTCAATGTCTGTAACTAAATCAGATCGATTGAAAACTGACTGATTGTTTAACTTAATTTATATTTCTGACACATGTCTTCGGCCATACATTCATCCTTCCATACGAGATTACGGGAACACTTAACTTGGCCTTGGTTTTTCTTATACCAAACTTAGCTCCATAATCTTCGTTAATAGCTTTTTATATTCTTACATTTCAAATCCACAAATGTTAGTATTATTAGTTTAATTCCTTAATTAAATAATCGTCCATTATTAACTTTCATTTTGTCATAAACTCTAATTAAACTCCTAGCGTAAATAAACTTAGCCGGAGTGATTTTGAGATTTATAACATATTAAGCAGGAATGTAAATATATCTGAAAAGAAATATTTTGCTAGCGCAGTATAAAATGTACTTCAATTAATCAATTCTAGTCGGAGCGTCGGTGGCTCAGGGGTCAAGCACTTGAATTGCAATCTGCAGGTCCTGTGTTCGAATCCCGCCTTGTGCCAATGTGTTTTTCGATTTCTGATTTACATATGTACATTTATCCGACGTTCTTACGGTGAAGGAAAACATCGTGATGCAACCTGCACATATCTGAGAAGAAATTCAAAGATATGTGTGAAGTCAGCCAACCCACACTTGGCCAGCGTGGTTGACTATGGCCAGTCACCCCTAAGTTAGGATAGGATCCAAGCCCCTCGGTGGGGACGTATAGTGAGCTGATGATGAATCCATTCTACTAAACAACTACGGTGAAATATAATACTAAAAATTATTAAATTTGTGGGAATATTTGAATTTACAAATGTCATCAACATACTAGCAAATATTATAGTATAGGAGCTAGCAACGTTTTGGAGAAAGAATTTCAGGTCAGCTGCTTTTGTGGTATACTGTCCTTCTTGCTCTTTCGGTTAGAGTCTCGGCTACCGCCAGCCAGATGGCCTAGCCTCTAAACGAAGGAGCAAGCAGGACGATATATCACAAAATCAGCTGATCTAAATTTCTAACTTTTAAAAACTTGTCAAGCAATAAATATTATTTCATCAACTCAAACTAACATAAGTAAAACAATTAAGACATAGAGAAATTAAAACAACAAAACAATGTGTTCTTTAATTATGAAATTAGCCAAACAATATATTTAGAACACATAAAACTAAACAATTTAACTAAAATAAGTGACTTGATACCTGTAGATGATTCTGGATTTGGGGTAGTTTCTGTAGTTACATAATCTTCAGTAACTGTAACTAAATTAGTGAACTGTTTTAACTAATATAATATTAATTTTAACTACAGTACAAATCCAAAAGAAATAAGAATATCTAGGTAATTTCTTATACAAACATTTCTTATAATGCCTTTTGGTGTATCTTGAAATTAAAAGTAAGTTATAACAATAAAAAATTGAGGTTATAAAATTCAAAACAATATGTTTGCCAATAGCCTGGTGGTTAAGGGTTTCCGATCACGAGGTCGGGAGTTCGATCCGCCATGCGACTACGATCGTAAACCATATCCTAGCCCAAGCGTGGAGCTTAGTTGGAATGGTACAAGAAATATTAGTAAATTAACAAAAATCTGCTTATATTTAAAATATATATAAAAACAATGGTAGCAAAATAATATAATAATATCGTAGAAAGTAATACTCTAATTAAGAAAATACTAATGTTTTAAACAATAACGACGTAAGTGCATTGTGCAACTATGATAAAATTATTTTTATAAAATTGCAATAAAAAATCGTTTTCTCAGTTCAAGGTCACAGTATTCAAGAAGTATGAAGACTTGATACTCAATATGTATTCAAAACAATTACAAATATAATAGTATAGAAACTACGTTAAAGCAAGGAATTAATCCATTTTGGATACCTATAGGATCTGGACTGGTAACTGAAGGAAACAAATCAGAGGATATCCCTGACTCATCAGTGAATGCACCTAAAGGAATTAAAAAGTTCTCTTAGTATTCTCCAAAGATTCTGTTTTTTCCCCAAATGTTTAAATGATTATTGTACCACACGCATTAGCCTTTTTTCTTGTATTCATTGCGTACTGAAAGCGTCGGTGGATCTGACTTATATTCTGCATGTCTTGGGTTCGGATCCCGCCATGTACCAATGTGTTTTTCGATTTAGATTTACATGTGTATATTTATCCTACGTTCTTACAATGAAGGTAACCATCGTGATGCAACCTGCACATATCTGCGAAGAAATTCAAAGATATGTATGATGTGAAGCAACCCGCACTTGGCCAGCGTGGTTGACTATGGCCTAATCACCCCTAACTTAGGGCAGGCTCGGAACCCCTTGTGGGGACGTACAGTGAGCTGATGGTGATGATTCATTGCGTACAAAAATAAAAACCTTCCCTTTTTATAATGTGACGTATAGAAATACAGATAACACAAAATTAATATAATATATGCACGAAAATATGCGTAAAATATAAATAAGTTAAATAGGAAATGACATTTTAAAATATCCAACTTTAGTAGATGTGTGAACTCATCGTACCAAGATGTTTATGATTCATTCAGTAACAATATCGCATCAGTTTAACATTTTGAAACTGTATCCATTTTTGTGCCAAATCATGAATTATTTATCAGTGGAAAACCGTATTGTGAACTGAACGGTGACACAGAAATATCAATCGTTTTAAACACGGTACAATTTCATGTTTTTGTAACAAAATATTCTTTTAGTTGAGAGTGAGAGTTAGGAGAGTTGAGAGATTTGTCTCACTAAAACGCGTCTTAAATGGCCATTCTTGAGTACGAATTCCAGGAGAGAGTCCTAGAATCTTCTATGTACCGGGACCTTAATCTTACTAATGTTACTAATATTATAAATGAGAATATTTAGATGGATGGGTGGATGTTTGTTTGAAGATATCTCAAGAACGGCTGAACGGATCTCGATGAAATTTGGCATACATGTAAAACATAGTGTGGAAGAACACATAGGCTACTTATTATGTTTTTTAACACCGCGCGGACGGCGTCGCGGGCAACAGCTAGTACAGTAATATAGCCAATAAGCTGAGTACACACGAGTCTCATAAAGTTATTATTTGTGTAGTCCCACCATTATACTATTGTTAGTATAACCTTATAAAACAAGTCAAGGCTTTAAAATTATGTTATTGTGAATGGTGCGACGCGTTTTGCTTTTACACATAATGCCTTTATAAATGCTACGTGTTAGTCTTAATTAACAGAATATTCGTAATAATGTAATCGTAATTTGATCCTTTAAAATCTTTTTGTAATTCGAATAAATGTTTATAAGTAAAGAGCACGAATATCGGAGTGCTAGGGGCGCGGTAGTGCCCCTGCAAAAGCATAACTCTAGCTAACACTCTACGTTTCTATGCCATTAACGTATTTTAAATGCGCCAAAACAATATTCAATGCAAATATGACATTTGAAGTAAATATTAATACATTTTCTTAATTTTATCGTTATCATTATAATATAAAATGTACATATTTAACAAGTTTAAATTACAAGTAAAAATCAAAACAGTTGGAATTTTATAATAATTATACATATGTTGAACAATATGTACGAATAGGCACCTGGTTTTAACATATGAGTACGAGCCTAAACAAACACACTAACACGAAGTAAACGACCTCAGCCTCTGTCCAATAACTAGGTTAGTTAAAGGACGTTTATCAACACGACCGGTTCACTAATCTTACTTAACTATCCAACTGTCAAGAACTTTATGAAGGGTATCGCTTAAACCTGGTTCTATTTATTTCTAAAATAATGTCTATCATCTGGCTTCTAGGAGAAAAGACAGAATTATTAGATGTTTATTAAATTGTATCCATGAAACTAATCGGCATCTTTAAATACAGTAAGTCAGCTACGAGACATTAAGCTATGAAATTGAGAGTTATTTTTATAACTATCATTTTACTGGCTTTTGCCCATGACTTAACCGAGAAATTAAAAAAAAAGCTTAGTAAATAGCCTATGTGTTTTTCAAGACTGTCCTACATATGTGCCAAATTTCGTCAAGATCCGTTGAGCCGCTTTGGCGATACCTTTTAACAAACATCCATCCTTCCATCCATCCATCTAAACTTTCATATTTATAATAGTAAGACAGTTTAGACAGTGAGAAACTTAACATATAAGGATTTTTATAAATAGTGTACATAACACTAAACAGGATTACTAAAATGAGTAAATCACAGAGAAATCCGATGAATCAAACTGTTGCGTAAGATAGCAGACATCCGTATTACATCGAACAATATTACGCTTAGCCCATGTCGCAACGGAAAACGCAAGCTAGAATCCGCCACGAGCACCGCAAGGAAATCCGCTAACATACGCTCGAAGGCGAACTTCCTGTTTATTGAACAGGTTGACTGTTATATTCGTAATTCACGGTCGTTTCATGATAAAGGTTAGCAAGTTAAAACGATAATGTAACATATAATTCTTTAATTTCAGTGTTACAAATGTTCTTATATAACGTATTTTATTGCCTATACTAAACGTTGATTTCTGAGACCAAAATTTTTCATACAATATAACATATTGTCATCCCTGTATTTCATCTTTGAACAGAACAGATAATGTATTTTAAACGAAGATTTTGGTCATGGAAGCCCACAGTATTTTTTTATATATCATAAGGTGACAAACGAGCGAGCGGCCACCTGAAATCCCTGAAATAGCGAAGTGACCGTTGCCCATAGACATACGCAATTGCATATGCGTTGCCTACCTTTGATGGACGGAGGAGAGGATGCACAGAAACAATCAATATTCCCTTTTCGTGCATCCTCTCATCCGGAAAGTCCACTTCTACTTCCCATCCTTTCCTTATAAGAAAAAGGTGGGAAGGGAAAGAGGACTAAATTAGGCCTCCGGGACGCACACTCATCAGACGAAACGCGGAATTGCTTCCACTTTACGACTGTCTTCTATGTGGTCGTGGTATTTCACCGGGCGAGCCGGGCCAATTCGTGCGAAGATGTTAAAA